AGTGACAATCTACCTGTACTTACACAGAGGAGTAGACAGCTGAAGGAAGGGTGGAAATTAAGCATCCAATTAAAGTGTTTGTCTCATCAATTGTAGTTTGATTTGGTAATCCATAAGGATTAAGTTCTAAAATAAGACTTCACATGAAATCATTATAGCTCAAATAAACTAAACACACAGATCTGAATTTAGTATTAGAAAAGGCAATGCAGTTCTTAAACAACACAGTGAAGATAATCAAAACATATTTTATTTCCAATGGAAAGATCTTTTGGCTTCATGATTTTCTTCCAGTTGCATAGAAAGTTGACGTGAACTATTTACTGGAGAGTAGTACTCTGAAAATCCAGAGCACTACCTAAGTTTTACATGCCCACTTTCATCACCATTCTTTCTTTTCAACAAGAGAGAGAATTCCAAACAACAGATTACAAAGATGGTACTGGGAGCCTGGGAAAATCTAACCGTCCGACAAGAGGCTGAAATGGGCGCTATCAGGAACGGAGATGCTAACTACATCAGGAATGGACCTTTCATTTTTTTCTTGAAGATAAAAATACAATGAACATGTACAACACCAAGAATCCAAATGTAAACTATGAACATTTGTTAACAATAACTTATCAAAACTGGTTCATCAATATAGCAACAAATGTACCACACCAAAGCAAGATGGTAATAAAAAATATAACGAATGATCTAGTAATATTATCCACGGATGTAATCCCTGTCAACACTTCTCATGCATACAAACCCTATAGGGGCAGAAGCAGTCTGTTCTAGTGTGATAATTACAAAATAAAAAATTATTAAGTTAAAAGCAAATTAAAGAAAGAAGGCTATTTATTACAGGCATATGAAGAATGACTCTCAAAAGGGAAACAATGTGTAGGGTTTGGAGAGAGATTTTAAAGCCCTAGCAACAGTAATTCTGAAGTTGTCAACAACCAGGACAAACAGAAACACTTTTAATTTTGGGAAAAAGCTGGTGTGCATGACCCCCTTGCCATTCCCACCATCACTCTGGGAGGTGGGGTGGATGTACGCTTCCAAAGAGTGCTGGACGCTCCCTGGGTTGTGACACTGAGGTTCCAGTTTCACTCCTGTGGTTTTGACACCTTCTAGCTGCACGGCCAGCACTGATGTGTGACAATTACAGACGGAGGAGCTCGGCGGCCAAGTGTAACCTAACATGTCAAATCTGCGGCGTGTAGGGGCGTGGGGGACTTCAAGTTCACGAGAAGATGCAGGCAGTCTGCGCACCGTCCCCCACCCCCACGTGGTTTCTAAACAGGAATCTGGGCTTTGAAGAACGTACTCTCACCCCACTGTATGAAGTCTGAGCAAAAGCTTGACACCAGCAGCTCCTACTCCTGAGTTAGAGGGACGGACACACAGCTTACGAAGGCAGGAAGCAATACATGCAGTGGAAGAAGAGCAGAGGAAAAGCGAGGACAGAGATGGAGGGATGAGGAAAGAAAAGGAACGATTAAAGGACCCATGCTCCTCAGGCCTTCGGTGGCTTTGTGGACCCCCCCAAACCACTCAGAACTTGGGGAGTCGGGCCTGGGTCTGTTCAGTGCTCACTGTCATCATTCTCCCTTGTGAACAAGAGGGAGAATTCAAATTAAGAGACAGTGCTGTGAGTATGGAAACACACAGACTTTGTCCTCTGAGAGAGGCTGAAAGTAACTGTAGGAAACAGCTAGCATGTCAGAGAAATATATAAGACTACAACACTCTTCCTTTCTTGGATGAAAATTAAAAAAAAACAAAAACACTTCATGATTTTTACTCATGATTCATTACGTGTCTCGTTATGAATATTCTGAATGGGTAAAAATTATGCCCAATATTTAAATAAAACATATTAAAGCTCATTCATAAAAGTTATTTATTTGTTTGTATCATTATAGCCTCCTTTTTAAAGCTCATTTTAATGACTTGCTGAGCTTATATATTGCAAACTAAAATGAAATGAATGAATCAAAATCTTACATTTATGCTTATTACACATAAAATGAGAAGAAAAATCAGTAAACACTCAGCATATCATTGTGGATGAATGTTAACACACTTTAGCTAAAATATATGTATGATTTACATCTATTTCATAACTTAAATTAGCTGCTTAATGACGCATGGCTACTACCTTCTCTTTATCTGTATCCGAGCGCAATTTAATCTCAGGCGGAATTGGAAGCGTGCTTTCTAGTCTGTGCATCCCCAGGAAACAACGTCCTCCAAGCGGAGGGGAAAGAGGACAGGGAGTTCTGCACCTGAACCCAAGGATTTTATTCCTTATTTTACAGGAAGTGCAGCGTCATCTCCATCAAACCTCTCTCCCTGAAGATGAGTGGACAGTGTGGCAGAGTCTGCGGGACTCCATCACACAGACAGCATAGGATCATAAAGCAGGACACCCCCATGACACTAAGCATTCCGAGTGGTGAGGGTTAGCAATCAGTGGGGACCCCAGGAATACCCGCTTTCCCGTCTCTTATTCATTCTTAAACACGTGTGGTAAATTCAGAAGCAGCTGGTGTATGAACAGTCACTCTGAACCTAAAATTCACGTGGACCTCAACAGGAAAGGAAGTCAGAGCATTTCGTGCAGCTGTGTGCTTTAGGATGCCCGCTAGTTTAGAGGCACTAAGAGATGGGTCTGTGTGCTCAAAGTTCTGAGTTTTTGTTAGCAGCAGACAAAATATCAATGTCAGCTGCCAACCCCCAGACGAGCAAGCACGATCAGGCGGGAGGGACAGGGCCAGTGGAGGAGGTGCTCGGCTGCAGTCAGGCGGAGTGGGAAGAAACTTTCTGGGGTGGAAGTCTGCTCTCTGCCTTCTATGGAAGGGACGGACCACCAAGGCTAGAAAGTGTAGATGAGAAAGTAACACTGCTGATTTACAAGCTAGAGACGTATCCTCCGAATAACCAGGAGAGGGCCATGCCTCTCCACGTGCCACGTTTCACATTTCCCGTGCGCGGGAGGATGTGGGGCTCACCCACACGCTTGGTGGACAGATGAGACTTACTCATGAAGAGAGAGGATGCACACAGCTTACTCCCCACTCACCGAGCTTAGGACCGCATCGGGGCTTCCTGGACTGCAGTGTGGGAGGAGAAACATTCTGAGAGAGGAGGTAAAGATGTGTCTACGTGACCTAAGCAGATACAAGCCAGACTCTAGTACAGCAGCAGCCCGGCTGAGCGAGCAAGCCTGAGAGCCCCCTTATCCACTCCTTCCACCGTGGGCCACCCCAGGGCCGCTGGGTGTGCTCCTGAATGCACTGCTCACGAGGGCTCCTGACTTTTGTCTGTTCTCCCTCTGTACCTGACAGGCCACTGGGTGGTCACAAGCTTTACAAATTCAGGACTGGGCCTTGCTGTCCCCCTCCTGACTCAGTCTACCCTGCCTCACTGGTTCACTTCCACTCCCATCAAACAGCCCAGTCAAGACAATCGCTCTGATTTCTGCCCTGTGTTAGCATGAAAACTTATCTTTTTCCACCTTTTTTTTCTACAGGGCTAAGTTCCCTTAGTCAGACGGAATAAACAGAATTGTAATAGTAGTGAGGCTAAAAGGTCTAAGAGTATCCCGTGCTGAAAATCCTCCTTCAAGTCTGGAGAAACCCAGGTGACACAGAGAATTCCTGTCAACCTTGTTTTGTGAAAGGTAAAGATGACAAAGGATAAAGCACTGAGAAGAGAGCTTCCTCCTTCCCCATGTCCCCTCCACAGATGTAGGATCTGAGTTTTAAGGAAAAACAGCACAAAAAGAAGTTGAGAAATGTGCTTTTACTTCTAGTCTTCTCAGTTCATCTATTTACCTACTAATATCAACCAGGTTAAGATGATGACTTATTTTTTGAAACTTCTATGGCAATTATTATCTTCATTATTAACCAGGACTTTGTATTCCACTGTACTGTTATTCTCTTATATTTTCTACCTCCAGTTAGGCTCTGTGTTCCCTTTTTTGTAGCTCCACTCTGTTGCACCCACAAATGCTAACCAGCTGATCTTATGAAAGATGGCAGGACTCTACAGAGTGTTACTGATGAATTAAGAACAGAATAAGAAAAACAGCCAAGGCAGTAATTACTACATGCCAGCCACTTCTAAGCAACTACATATATGAACTCATGTAATCTTTAAGACACGTGGCAAGAAGGACAGGTATCATCCCTGTCACACTGACAAGGACGCTGGGGCACGGAGACGCTGAATCACTTGCCCAGGTCCCACAAGAGGAAGTGGAGCGGCCAGGGTCTCCCGGGAAGTCTGACAGCCCAGCTTTCAGTAACTTTGCTTATGCCGCCTCTCAGTAGACGTCCTTCCAAAACTGTTTCTATTTCATATAAACATTTGATGGGTTTCAAACATATTTATAAAGTTCTCCACCAAGAGACGTGCATTCCACCTCAGGCTGCTATGCCCCAGAAGGCCCTTCGTACCCAGCCCTCTCCCTTCCCCTTCTTATTTCCTGCCACTCTCCAACAATTTCCCCATGCTGGAGCCCAGGTTTCCAAACAACGGTGTGACCCATTAGTAGGATGCAACCAGAGTTTTAAATAAGTTAAATCAGAATAGAGACTAGTAAAAAAAAGGCACAGAATAAGTATTGCTGCATGGATGCTTCTGTTTCATTTCTATGTGTGTATTTGTACTAGGTCACAAGATAAGGTTATTCTTTACTCTGCAGCACGGTCAAAAAGTCTGAATGTCCACCACCCAGTCCTTATACCAAATCTGACTGCTGTTTCACAGCGGGTGCTTGAGAAATGGTTGTTAAAGAACACATGGATGCGTCCATGAGTACACCCAGGTCACGGTATTTAGAAAACTGAGTGAGGTCGTTCTGTGAGTCAGGCTTGCTGCTAAACCACGTATTTGATTTTTCAGGACTGGATAAATAAGGAAAACGGAGGATACCGAATTATGTGCAAAGCAAAGCAAAATACATGCCAAGGCCCAAGGACCAACCAGCCCCACATTACCTCTCCGCCCAGGGTACACGTGAGGGTAGTATTCATAGTAGAGGTCGGGCTGATCTAGATTTCCAAAGGGCTCAAACTCCACTTCGGCATTCTGGAAAAGGCCCAACTTCACCAGCAGGGCCAGCCTCACAAACCAAAGCTGAAAACACAAAACATAATGGAGACCATAGATTATCTATGTATAGCATGTTCAGAAACTCCTGTTCCTTGTTGATTTGGTATCAGAGCTTGATTTCTAATATATTAAAACCAGGACTAAAGTAACTTTCTTTGCACATTTGCATAATTACATGTTTATAAAAATACTCAAGTTTAATAACAACAATGTTAAGTGATTTTATTTGCTTCAACTTAACTCAACAATACTTACTGAGCAGGGTGTGTATGCAAAGTACTGTGCTAGGTATCCTGAAGGTAAGAACAGACCATCCCCTCCCTAGAGAAGAGTATAATCTGGGGGGTGAGAGGACACTGAAGTGAGGACACAGAAATGAATCAAGTGGAGAGGGAAGGGACAGCAAAGAAGGTCAGGAGTGGGGGTGGGGGAGGCCCGGCGGAGAGTACGGAGTCTCCACAGGCAGAGGCTGAGGAGGGGCCTGTGGGACGGGGGCAGGACACAGGCAGGGAGGGAGTCCATGTGTGTGACAGTCAGCTCCGAGAGGCCAGAACACAGAGCACCTTCAAGAAAATGATGGGAAGTCAAACATCATGTGACTGCATTTGCTGCAGTCAGAGTCAGAGCCTTTGAGAACTAGAAGGTACCTCAGAAATGACCTGGTTCTGTCGCATTTTACCAATGAGAAAAACAAGGCTCAAAAAGAAGGGACTGCTCCAGATTACACAGCAAGGAACAGAATGAAAAGGTGGGCATCAGAGGAGTGAACATCCTCTTCAACATGCCTTGCTGTTGACGGCCACGTGTCAGGGCTGGTCACAGGCGAGGAGGCTACATTTAACTTGGCCGGCAATGGGAGGCTACTCAGCGATTCTGAGCAGGAAAGTGGGTGATCAAAACTGTGCTTTAAGAAGATTATTTCACAGCAGCTTACTGAATGACTGTGAATAGAGACCTGCAATCAGTTCACGCAGGAGGCTGAAGCAACACTCCAGTGAGGGCCTGGGCTGGGTGGTGATGGGTCTGAGAGATTTGGAAGAAAAATCCCTAAGATTTAGCACCCCCAGCTGGAGAGGTGAGGGGGGACGCAGCACGTACAGTCGGTGCTGCTCCTCTGACCTCCCCACCCACCGTCGTGCGGTGCAAAAGCTGAGGGAACAGGGGCTTGCTTGAAACACCGGCACCATCAGGCCCCCAGAGTCAGTCCCCTCAGGAGCTCCTCATGGTGCTGGCGTCTGGTGGATTCTGGGGATTCCCGTGCAAGTCAGAGCAACAGTTAGAAAACTCCCCCTGGAAGGGAAGAGCTTAAGGATTCCTGCAGCTCTTCCGACTCGTCAGAGGGTTTCCTTTCGTTCACAACTCTATTGCCTGCGTTCCTTTTTTTTTTAAATTTTAGAGCAAGTGATATCATGACACTGGGGAGAGCAGACACACCGCCCAGCGCACGTCCCGCCTGTGGGTCATGCACATCACTGTTTCCTCCAGGCCCAGACAGGCCTCGAACCCTTCACAACCCAGGGTTTTCACAACCACAAGGGCAGCCCCCCTCGTGGCCTCACTGTGAGTGTGGCCCGAGCCTTTGGGGTGTGGAGGCCGCTTGGTCACAGGGCAGAGTGAGAACTCTAGTTCACACCGGTATAATCAGGAAATGAAGAACCAGAGTGACTTCACACCGAGATCCAATTCGGGATACGAAAATCCATTGTTGGTTCTCAAACTGTTCCTACTGGCTTGAGTGGCCACGGTCCCTTCCATGTCCCCAAATGATGACAAGCCAGAGAACAAGTCAGGGGCTGTACCTGCAGTGAGTCTGCTGTGTGGCTGGTAGGCAGCCCGCTCTTGCCGTAGCCCTGGCCGTGGGCTGTGAGGAGGCGCCCGCACAGGTCCACTGCTGCCCTCCAGTTTTTGCAGCTCTGTAAGACAGCGGAATACGTAACCAAAAACACTGCTGCTCAAACATGCCGGTGCTCGCTGTGCTGGACGCAGCTCCATCGCCATTAGCGATGGTGACGAGGCCAGACAGCTGCCAGCACCGAGAACACCTTTTGTCAATGCTGCACGTGCAATCAGGCAAGAAGGACGCCAAGCATGAGACGCAGTTCAAGACGAGCAAATCATCAAACTACGAAAGTACAACAACTGACAGAACATAGGGAGAATTTTTGTTTGAAATCTCTCCCCTACCCCCAAGAAAGACTGCTTTCTCTTTTAGCAAGATAACTCTATCTTGTGATTTTTATCAATTTAAAATCAATAACTTAATTTTATGCTGTGTTGGATATATTTGTATCTGTAAGATCTGCATGTGACTATAAGTGGTTTTGTATGTTTGACATGATTCTATTTTAACAATATAAAAAAAAATCACTGAACTATGCTAGTGTGACATCTTATAGGCCAGTTGTGCCCATAACACACAGCATACTTTCATATGACGACTTGAACTGCAGAAACCCTGGCTGATGTTGACATATTGGCTCATCAATTTGGACTTACTGTGTTTATCTTTGCCCTAATGCAATGAACAAAGGAGGGCTGCTACGCAAATCAATGGGAAAATATGGGAAAAGGACTGCTGATAACAGTTTCAGATCATGTGGCTAGTACAATATGTTTTTAAAGACTCTTTAATATTGGAAAATGCTTCAGATAGGATGTAAAGTAACAAAAAGATACAAAATTACAAGTATCATATGAAATTTTATGTAGTATATATACCCAAATACATACCTATCTGTTCATACTCATACATAGACACTGCATATATACACACACAGATACTAAAATGTTAACAGATAGTGGTTACATAAATGATTTCTTTTCAACTCTTCTGAACTAAGAACACGTTGTTTATAAAGTGAGGAAACAGCGGTTTGTGAATTAAAGGGCAGGCCGCACACCTACTGGAACAGCACGCTTGCAGACGAGGCTTTTCTGTCCTGGCTGTCTGCAAATGGATGGCGTGCATGTCCATCTGTGTCCCACACAGTGGGGGCCCCAGAGGGAACACCCTACCCTGTCTCTTACCTAGAACAGTGCTTGCTACACAGGAACAAAATTAATCCTTGTTGAAATAATACATTATTTTTTTTTTACCAAGTATGAAGGTGTAAGTTACTACTAAGTATGACAGCTAAAGCATGAGGAAGAGGTTTTTTTCTGACAAAAAATAAATAAATAAAAGATTTAGCTACAGTAGATAAGGAACCACCGACACTATACTGCCCACAGTGAGCCCCACTGCTGATCTATTTGACAGACCTCAAAGGCAAACAGAACGTGTGTGGGTGCAAAAATATATAAATGATCATGGATAGCTGTATATTTTTGAAACAAATAAGAAATACTCATTACACAGTAAGACTCCTATCTTATTTTATATCCACTAGGTATAGATACCCACAACTAATAAAACATTTAAATGTGTAATAAAATTATTTGCAAGCACTTTGCAAATATGAAGTGCTCCATAAATGATTAAAAATAGTCAAATGCGTCATATAAAAAGCCTTCAGCTCTTGCTATGATTTCATATACTAAGATGTGTTTTCTATATTTCAAACCAGATCACCATTAAAAATGAAGCAAAAACCTATCATCTTCATTATTCATTTTTTTAGTAAATTGTTTTAAAAAGTGGCTTCTTTCCTAACTGAAAATAGAAAGCAGAAATGTTTATGCTTCTATTACTGTTTTTCCCAATATAATTTTCTCACAGATTACTGAATATAAAAGATTTCCTCGGATAACTGCCACTATGGACTAAGTGTGCCATTATTAGGCTAAGCCCTTTCCTGATTATATCGCTGGTTTATAAATGACACGTAGTCATATCTAAACAAACCTACACTAACCTGACAGCCACATTTCTAGGAGTCAGAAGAATCTACTTCCTCCAGATAATTAATAACAAAACAGCATGAGGCAGGGAGTCAGCGAGCCTCCTCCCCTATCTGAGGACACTGGCCCAGGGGCAGGGGAGACATACACAAAGCCAGACTCGGACCCAGAACTCATTTTGTTCCACTCAGGAGTACTGCCATGCAGGACCAGAGGTGACTGAGCTCGTCTAATCTCTAATGTAGATCTAGATTATCTTCTGGTTTGAGAGTCAGACATACTAGTAGAGGAAACTGAGAGACAAGGATGAATTTCCTTGTACTGTACTATCATTTGAAAAGAAAAAAAAGAGGAGAGAACATGAAGAAGTTGTTAGAAAAGTTTACCATTTACAATTTATGCTTCCCCAAATAATTTTTTTTTTCCTGATGAGAGAATACAAAATATTTACTTGGCTACAGTTCAAGTTGCTTTGTATTTCCCAAACATTTCCAGGCACAGGAATATATTTTTAAAATTATTTTATTGAGGTCATAATAGTTTATAACATTGTGAAATTTCAGTTGTACATTATTATTTTTCAATCACCATATACATGTGCCCCTTTACCCCTTATGCCCACCCCCCAACCCCCCTCCCCTCTGGTAACCTCTAATCTGTTCTCTTTGTCCTTGTGTTTGTTTATCTTCTACATATGAGTGAAATCATGCAGTGTTTGTCTTTCTCTGTCTGGGTTATTTTGCTTAACATGATACCCTTAAGGTCCATCTGTGCTGTTGTAAATGGGACGATTTTGTCTTTTTTTATGGCTGAGTAGAATTTCACTGCATATATATATAACACATCTTCTTTATCCATTCATCAGTCGAAGGGCATTTGGGTTGCTTCCACGTCTTGGCTATTGTGAATAATGCTGCAGGGAACATGGGGGTGCATAAGTCTCTCTGAACTGGTGATTTCAAGTTCTTTGGATAAATACCCAGTAGTGGCACGGCTGGGTCATATGGTATTTCTATTTTTAATTTTTTGAAAAATCTCTATACTGTTTTCCATAGTGGCTGTACCAGTTTGCATTCCCACCAGCAGAGTATGAGGGTTCCCTTTTCTCCACACCCTCTCCACCATTCGTTAATTTTTGTCTTGGTAATTATAGCCATTCTAATGGGTATAAGGTGATATCTCATAGTAGTCTTGATTTCCATTTCCCTAATGATTAGTGATGTTAAACATCTCTTCATGTGCCTATTGGCCATCTGTATATCTTCTTTGGAAAAAAGTCTGTTCATATCCTCTGCCCATTTTTCGATCGGGTTTTTTTTTTGTTGTTGAGTTGTGTGAGTTCTTTATATTTTGGAGATTAACTCCTTATCAGATATATGATTTGCAAATATTTTCTCTCAGTTGGTGGGGTGTCTTTTTGTTTTGTTCCTGGTTTCCTTTCCCTTGCAGAAGATCTTTAGTCTGATGAAGTCCCATTTGTTTATTAATTCTTTTGTTGCCCTTGCCCAAGCAGACATGGTATTCGAAAAGGTGTTTCTAAGACTGATGTCAAAGAGTGTACTGCCTATTTTTTCTTCTAGGAGTTTTATAGTTTCACATCTTACCTTCAAGTCTTTAATCCATTTTGAGTTAATTTTTGTGTATGGTGAAAGATAATGGTGTACTTTCATTCTTTTGCATGTGGCTGTCCCGTTTTCCCAATACCATTCATTGAATCGACTTTCCTTTCTCCATTCTACGTTCTTGGCTCCTCTGTCGAAGATTAGCTGTCCATAGATGTGTGGTTTTATTTCTGGGCTTTCACTTCTGTTCCATTGATCTCTGTCTCTGTTTTTGTACCAGTACCATGATGTTTTGATTACTTTGGCTTTGTAGTATATTTTGAAGTCAGGGATTGTGATGCCTCCAGCTTTGTTCTTTTTTCTCAGGATTGCTTTAGCTATTCGGGGTCTTTTGTTGCCCTGTATGAATTTTAGCATTCTTTGTTCTATTTCCTTGAAGAATGTCACTAGGATTCTGACTGGGATTGCAATGAATCTGTAGAATGCTTTAGGGAGTATGGACATTTTAACTATGTTTATCCTTCCAATCCATCAGCATGGAATATCATTCCACTTCTTTATGTCATCACTGATTTCTTTCAATAATGTCTTATAGTTTTCATTGTATAGGTCTTTCACCTACTTGGCTAAATTTACTCCTAGATATTTCATTCTTTTCGTTTTGATTATGAATGGGATTGTATTCTTGAGTTACCTTTCTCTTAGTTCGTTATTAGAATATAGAAATGCAACTGGTTTTTGTAAGTTAGTTTTGTACTCTGTAACTTTGCTGTCGTTGTTGATTATTTCTAATGGTTTTCTGATGGATTCTGTAGTGTTTTCTATATATAGAATCATGTTGTCTGCAAACAGTGAGAATTTCACTTCTTCCTTGCCAATTTGGATATCTTTTATTTCTTGTTCTTGCCTAATTGCTCTGGCCAAGACCTCCAGTACTATGTTGAATAAGAGTGGTGAGAGTAGGTACCCTTGTCCTGTTCCTGCTCTCAGAGGGATGGCTCTCAGTTTTTCCCCGTTTAGTATAATGTTGGCTGTGGATTTGTCATATGGCCTTTATTATGTTGAGGTACTTTCCTTCTATACCCATTTTATTGAGAGTTTTTATCATAAATGGATATTGGATATTGTCAAATGCTTTCTCTGCATCTATTGAGATGATCATGTAGTTTTTATTCCTCATTTTGTTAATGTGGTGTATCACTTTGATTGATCTGTGGATGGTGAACCATCCCTTTGTCCCTGGTATAAATCCCACTTGATCATGGTGTACAATCTTTTTAATGTATTGCTGTATTCGGTTTGCCAATATTTTGTTGAGGATTTTTGCATCTATGTTCATCAGTGATATTGGCCTGTCATTTTCCTTCTTTGTGTTGTCCTTTCCGGCTTTGGGATCAGGGTGATGCTGGCCTCATAGAATGTGTTCGGACGTGTTCTGTCTTCTTCAATTTTTTGGAAGAGTTTGAGAAGGATAGGTATTAAATCTTCTTTGAATGTTTGGTAGAATTCTC